ATAATAAGCAGCATTATATAAATAAACCAATATTAATACAAAGGTCTGACGACCCAAGGGAGCAGAACAAAGACAAAACACCAATAAGAAAGATGAAGCGATCTGGTTGAGCCCAGATTCTTTCTACTCCTACTGTATTTCAGTTTCACCACTTTTCCTTCAACTCCTAATAATCTTCTTTCACCTCTTAACTAAAGACTTCGTATCGTATCGTATCGAGATTCATTCTGGCCATTCTTCTTGAACACGCAACACCTACTCCAGCAAGCTCCTCGCTGTCCAGCATTCATTCAACCAGGAGGCCAGCAACAGGCAACATCTTCTCTAACGAAGCTCCTGCACATCTACCTCCTTCAACACGCTACTCACCGAACGTCTCTACTGAGCAGCTCCTCACCACACGGCACCTCCAGCACCAGACTGTCTATCATATAACTTATATTATACAAGAAAACCACCTTAGAGTTTCCATCCATCCTGAGTGCTAGACAACATTATACCACGAATTCCTACACTATGTTTAATCTTGAGAGTGGAGTACCTCAAGGAGGATGCCTTTCTCCAACACTATATACAATTTATACCTCAGACACACCTCAACCTACCCCCTTTAGCGAATATGTAATGTTTGCTGATGATATTACTCAAATAGTATTATACCCAGGAAAATCAACCCAATTTATGGCACTCTACACGGTAAGAGCGATAAAAAATATAAATGATTTTGAGAAAAAATGGAAAATCAGGACAAATAAGAACAAATTCAAGATAATACCAATAGCCAAGATCAAAACAAGTCCAGTAATAGTCGACCAGGAACTATACCCATACGACACTGAAGGCAGGATGCTTGGATTAAAACTAACAAAAAGAGGATATATAACATACTTAAAAGATAAAGAACGACAGGCAAGAATAAGATTATCAAAAATAATACGCTTTAAGAACCTTAGCATTAATAACAAAAGAAAGATATATATTGCCCTTGTCAAATCAATTATGGACTACCCACCCATCCCATTGAACACCCTTAGTAAAACGTGCATTAAAAGGTTACAAACAGTACAAAATATAGCCCTCAGATTTATATATAACATAAAATATACAGACCACATCAAGAGAGCAAACCTCTTAGCAATCAATGTAGAAATACACAACAAAGCTGCAAACATTTGGAAAAAAGTGACTGAACTTAACACAGAAACATATCAAAACTGGATAAATAATATAGACAACGAAGAATTCCAAGAACACAGTTGGTTTAAATCAGCCAGGAAAAAAGTAATTGAACCATCTCCAGCCCCAATATACGCATAAAACATTAATAGAGAGAATAAAAGACGAGCGTGACCTACCAGCTCCACTAAGAACCTGGCAGGCCTCTCCATACAGTGTACCTTTAGACTAACATAACTAACATTTAACATTTAACTAACATCTTAGCAAAAAAAACAAAATGTGACTACCCTCCCAGCTACACAAGGACCTGGACGGGCTCACTAACTCCATCGGAAAAAAAAAAAATAATAATAATAATAATAATGTGATTACCCTCCCAGCTACATCAGCCAGGAAGAAGTAATTGAACCACCTCCTGCCCCAATATACACATATACACATAAAACATTAATAAAGAAAATAAAAGATGAGAGTGACCTACCAGCTCCACTAAGAACCTGGCAGGCCTCTCCATACAGTGTACCTTTAGACTAACACAACTAACACTTAACTAACACCTCAAAAAAAAAATGTGATTACCCTCCCAGTTACACAAGGACCTGGACGGGCTCACTAACTCCAACAATAATAAAAAATAATAAATAAGCAGCATTATATAAATAAACCAATATTAATACAAAGGTCTGACGACCCAAGGGAGCAGAACAAAGACAAAACACCAATAAGAAAGATGAAGCGATCTGGTTGAGCCCAGATTCTTTCTACTCCTACTGTATTTCAGTTTCACCACTTTTCCTTCAACTCCTAATAATCTTCTTTCACCTCATAACTAAAGACTCCGTACCGTACCGTACTGAGATTCATTCTGGCCTACGTTCCTGAACACGCAACACCTCCTCCAAGCAAGCTCCTCGCTGTCCCGCCCTCATTCAACATGGAGGACAGCAACACGCAACATCTCCTCTAACGAAGCTCCTGCACAGATACCTCTTCATGCACGTTCAGTACTCACTGAACGTATCTTCCAAGCAAGCTCCTCACCACACGGCATCTCCAGCACCAGACTGTCTTGTATACAATATATTTTATATAAGAAAACCACCATCTAGAGTTTCTATCCATCCATCCTGAGTGCTAGACACATATCACGAACCTTACAAGTTCTATACATAAAGGGTAACTTATTCTCAATCACAAATGCCAGTATGACCCTGCCAAACACCACAGGATTCCCGGTCCCCGGTTTCCTCCTGTACTAACACTGGATAAACAGTCCAAACGGCTAGTAAGTTGATAAGTGGCGAATATGATAAAAATGAAATAAGGAGGATCCCCATAGCTCTGAAGATTGTCTTGACGGTAGTCAATATAATTCATGTACTTCACTTTAACAGATTAAATAATTTAATTATAATAAATAAATCTTATAAATTCAATAAGATTATAAAATTACCAAAACGTTTCAAGACAATATGACATATGTAAGAGACTCTGTACGGGTGAAAGTCTACTCTTGTGTGGTATCTGCCGATTGACTAATGCTAAATTAATCCTACGAACTTACTTTCCAATACTTTTTTTTTAGAAAAACAAGAATCAACCAAAATTTTCATATTTAAATATATATACGCTCTAAACGTTATTTTTGGTTAGGCTAAGTTTGGATCGTGTGCATTAATTTATTAATTTGATAAGCTTTAGTGTTCGTGGTAATTTCCTAACACTCAACATGACACTACCAGGCATCAGCTGGGCCGCACGTGCTGTAAACATAGCTCATAGTGGCCAACTGTTTCTTACCAAATTTTTACCTATTTTACTCCACCGTGTACGTATTATTCGTTGTTTCAGTGCATTTACGTATATCATATGATGTTTAAAACATATCTAGTATATAAATAAAGTACCATTTGCCATGTATGGTCACTCGTGCAGTAATATTTCGGTCCGACTAATTACCCTAATGTAGTCGCACTGAAGTCAAATGATGGTCCTACAAGCGTAAATCGGGCTGTGAATCACTTCTCGATTATTATTTGGTGTCATAAAGTCACAAAAAATTGGTAAACTTAATTTAATCTGAGTTGTGTTAGGTTAGGTACATGCACTCGATCTATTAACTCAGATTAAATTAAGTTTCAAATTTTTTTGGACTTCGTGACACCAAATACTAGTCGAGAAGTGATTGGCAGTCCGATTTATTCATGTAGGACCATCATTTGACTTCATTGCGGCTACATTTGGGTAATTAGTCGGACCCGTAATATTTTGATGCAATTGCGTTTGAACTTTCGATATGACCATAATGACCTTTCCGTAATATTGTGTATATTAGTCGAACATACCACTTCTTGGTACTATTTCATTTGTTGCCAAAGGCAATTTTCCCTAATGCACCGGTGTTTGTTTGGATATTAAAAATATGTTTTTCCGATGTTAATTGATGAGTTTCCAACGAATTTTATATTCATTTCAACTGGAAACCAATAGTTTTTGAGACCCCCCGTACCCATCAATCTTAACGAGTAAATCACAAAAAAAAACCTGACCTTACCTAACACTATTTTTCTGATGACACTGCAATTGACGTAAAATAATCTCGATCACATTGTCAGCACAGCTCTTTCCACCTGTTCAGCCATATCTGGTTATTCTGGGACTGAAAAATCAAATCTCCGCTCCCGACGCACCCACGCATTGTTCATTGGCTAAGACAAAAAACTCTTGCCCAATTATAAGTCTCCTATCGCTGTAGCCAATAAGAAACTCCCACACCACCCCCCGCACATGTGCTGTAGATGCTTAAGAAGCCAACACGGAGGTAAGGAGCACTGCGTGATGGGTGGTCAGACCTTCTCTGTGAAACGTAAACAAATGGCGACACTTGTGACTGACCTAATCTAATAATATTGAAACATTAATATCTCGGTTATCCTTAATTTCCGACGGGAATATCACAGAAGAAAAAGGTCTTAGAATTGTCTAAACGGTAAATTTGCATTGTCACACCGTTCTCTGTTACGAAGTCAAACAAATACTTTTCTAGTGTATTTGTGTGTGCTTAGACCGAATATGACCTTCATTTCTGGTGGAAATTAGTTGGGTTTTTTATTGAATTTTTTTCGTTGGACGTTTTCCGAGAAAATCATGGTAAAATACACCAAAAAACACTAGAAAAACAAAAACCTAACCTAACCTAACTGACTCTCACCATATGATGGAATCACCTATTTCTTACCTTATTGACCTGGTTCATATTCGTCGTTGGATTCTGAAATTCTTACACAACGCCACATATGTTGGTCTTTGCGATATTTACATGCAGTCTTGTTCTTAGTACACTTTACTGAGGTTTCTTTATGAAGGAGACATAGGAGACACGCAGTATTGGAGGTGAGGCAGGCCATAATGGAGGAAGGTTAATGGAAGAAAATAGAGAACATTTTGGATATACTATCTCCGTTATTATACATTTCCGCCGGTAATGTAATAGATGAACACTGTCTTATAATTAGACGTCTTATTCGAATTTGATAATATATTAGTGGTAGGAATGAAAGGTGTGTAAATGCAATAATACCGTCTAAACATTACGAAAAACATATTAATAACAGCGAGAGAAATACCGGTGCAAGATCAAAAATTCACTGTTGCCACTACACCATCTCGGGATTTTTTTTAGCTGCAATCAGTGGTTTTGACATTTCTAAGACACTTCTTCAGTGGCATTTCTGGCACAAATTACGGTACCTATAAACGAGATATTGGTAAATATTCGCCCATTGGCTGTTCTCAGGTTTTGGTAAGAGAATAGGTTTTCTTTTTTTTTTCTTTTTTTTTTGTGTTTTACTCAAATCTGAATTTCATTTCTTGTGCAAATAAGTTTTTTTTTTTTTTTGCAAAAAATTAACATTTTTATTTTTAATAGAAACAGTTAATTTGCACAAAATGGAGGTCAGATTTGAATAAAACACACCCAAAACAACAAAAGAAAACCTATTCTCTTACCAAAAGAACCAACCAACCAACCTAACCTACAGGGAGGAGGAAAGGAAGAGACAATTGACTCTTAAAAATTGTGACCAAGTCCCAGGTTGCTGATCTGAATTTCTGCTTCATTTACACACAATTGCAGGGTCTCAATTGTTTCTCTTACCATTGACAACACAACATACATACAGTATATCGTTTCTCACTTTTGATCTTTTTTTGCATTTTTGTATTTATATTTCTTTATTATTAATATTATTATTATTACAGTTACTGTATTATTATCATCATCATTATTTTATTATTTTATTTTTGTTTGTTTTATCATAAAATTTATTTATTATGAATTATTATGACTATTATTTATTATTATTATTATTATTATTATTATTATTATTATTATTATTATTATTATTATTATTACATTTTCGCCCCCAGGCCCCGATGTGGGTCAGTGACCTGTGTCCGGGTGGGCTAATCCCCATAAAAAAAAAAAAGGTGAGGAGTATAACCTCGGGTAAACATGGCGGGAACCTGCGGACAGCTAATGGACGGATGTTAACCGAGATATTTAACATTTTATAATGTATGAAAATTTACCTTTCACTTGTTGCCACAAAATGAATCTAGTGAATTTTATAGTTGCAATCAGTAGTTTTGCCAATTCTAAGACAATTTTCTTCGGTGGCATTTCTGGCGCAAATTATGTTTAAGTGAGATATTTAACATTTTATTATTTATGTTTGTACGTGGTGGTACACACACAAAACATCGAACGATTGTGGAGCTCCTCAGTTAGGTTAGGTTGGTTAGGGTTTTGTTTTTCCGGTGGTTTTCAAGGTGGGTAAATATTCACATGCCATCACGAGCCTTCAAAATGGTTGGCCAGCCAAGTGTCATGACACTATACATTACTTGAAGATCATTGGTTGTCATGTTGCAAAGAGGAGGAGAGGACGAGAAAAGTGACTGGCAACATGGCGGGTACAGAAATATATGCCTAGAAATTTGTAAAATACTCCGTTAATATTGATTTGCACCAGAAATTATATTGAAGTCGTAATTTTTTTTTATCGTGTTTGTGTCTGTAATATTGAAAATTGGAAACCTGCGGACAGCCAACAGACGAATTTTATCCTCAAGGTGTTTTGAACACCTTTTACCATTATTTTTATAGCAAATCTCTCGATTCTGAGATGGGATGGGGCTTATCTCAGAAACGATTGATTTGCGCTAGGAATCAAATTCGTTTATAACACATCAAAAACCATCGGAAAAACAGTTTCAACTTCGATTTCGTATAGCGACAACAAGTGAAATTTTACCCACTTAAAATCTTGGGTAAATGTTAGGAACGGGCGGGTAAATTTGCGTAAATGGGCCCAACTCAATTCTTTAATAAAAACTGTTTTTTGCATAGATCAGATTATCCCAAGACACTTCTCTTCTATGGCATTTCAATCGGAAATTTATATTTTTTTATTATAATTTAATAGATTAGATTACCAACAATATTACTTGTTTAAAGTGGGGCAGCACTTTGAAGGCGAGGGAAAATGTTGGGTAAAATACTCAAATAACACCATACAACCCTTTGAAAACCTGACCTAATTGTTTCCTAACCTTTAAAAATCCTAAAACTGTAAAAACTTTACCTTATTCTTGTGTTGGGTGTTTAGTAGGTGATGGTGTTGGTTTTGGTTTTTAGTATGTGTTGTTTTTGGTGTGCAGATGAGGAGGGATCCATAAACTCTAAAGTGATTCTTAACATTTTTACAAGTTAGGAAATGTTATGTAAGGTTTTCAAGAGTTTGTTTGGTGTTATTTTTAATATTTTAACCCACATCATCCCTCGACTTCAAAGACCTGCCCACTTTAAACAAGTAATATGGCTACTTAGCCAGGAATTCCCAGCTGGGCAGATTGGAGGGTATGTAGCCAGGATGTTAAGTTAGGTTTCACAGTTACCAAGCTAGGTAAATATTCATCTATTGGCTGTCCTCAGGTTTTGATACGAGAATAGTGCTTTACTCAAATCTGACCATTTTTTGTGCAAATTAAAAATAATTGCCAAAAAATTAACATTTTCATTTGTAACAGAAACTGCTAGTTTGCACAAAAATGGAGGTCATATTTAAGTAAAAAAAAAACAACCTAAACTACAATATACAGCTCCTCCCCAACTTACGACCACCCACACTTACGACCTACCTCTGTCGTACCAAAATTTTGTCAAATTACTTATTTTCGAGTCCCAACGTCAGTGATTGTGCTGTGTTCTGACAAAATTTTTGTTTGTAATTCACTTTAAAATGGCTGGCAAGCTTAAAAGTGAGAGTTTTGTGGTGCTGAGAAGAAAAAGAGACACCATTTTAGATTTTCTATGTATTATTTAAGCATTTTTGACTTACGACCTGGATTTGGGTCCCTAACCCCGTCGTAAGTTGGGGAGGAGCTGTATGCAGCCTCGCCCAGTTTTTTGGAGCTTACCTGCTACTGTGGTGGAAGACTAAATGATTTCCACATTTAGGACACAGTCTTGGGGTTGGTATGACACTGTGATCTTGTAATATTTGGATTGCTTCACTGTCATTTTCATAAAAATTCACTGAATAACAGCTAGATATGGGAGAGTACACTTTATCACAAGCCATCACGAAAGTCTTCAAAATTCGAAAGTGCGCCGTGGATGGCTTCAAAATGATTAGCCAGCCAAGTCACAGGACACGATACTTGAAGGCTGTCATGTCGGAAGAGGAGGAGACTGGCAACATGGCGGGGGTTCAGAAATTTATGCCTAGAAATTTGTGAGGTACTCCATTAATATTGATTTGCACAGGAAATGATATGTAAGCCGTATGTTTCGTTTTTTCTAGTCTTTTTGTCTGTAATATTGAAAATTGGAAACCTGCGGATAGCCAATGGACGAATACAGAAGGGGGGGTATTAACCCAAGCTAACCTAACATTTACTGAAGACAGTAAAGATTCAGTAGAGGGCATAAACAGGTGTCACAAACAAAAATACTGTAGGTTTTTCTTATGAATGTGATGGTGATTTAAAAGAATATCATGCCAACCTGTATCTTAATTATTGGCTTGTTTAATAATATTTACAGAATATTATCTGAAAACTTGGTAATCTAGTACATAGTGGATATTTTGCCTTGACGGGCTAAGTTCCTACTAACACTATTTTACCGTGGTTTGCTCTGATTGGCTAAGTACTTTCTGTTTAATATGGTGGACCCTTGTCTAGGAAGTTAGGTAAGGTTAGGTAGGTTATTTTTGGTTGGTTATGTCAGGTTCTATTATGTTCTTGAAAATGTCGCTTCTCTTATAATGACAGGGTGTCTACTGGTCTGGAAAACCTGAAAAAGGCAGGGAATTTTATTTGGTGCTGGAAAAGCCAGGAAATTTTACAGATAAACCTGGAATTTTATGTGAATTCAGTTAATTTTCAAAATTTTTTATTTTGACAGCAATCTTACCATAAAATAATGATGTACTATATAATAGGTAAATAATTAAACTTTAAAAAACAAATTCCACTCCAATAACTGAATTGTGTACCTATCATATTTCATGCTAGCGATCAAATAACCAAATATTACAGGTTATACCTACTAATTCTGCAATGATTATTGTCAGATATGAATAATTGTTCTTATAATTAAGTGACATTATTTAAGTGGATTATTCCACATATTTATCTTGAGTCATATATGTGGATCAGGAGTGTGATTTGTCATTTTTTGTTGGATTTACAGCCTTTTTTAAACATCCAGGTCAACCCACGTGAATTGCACAAATCCAAGGAGAAAAATATGAAGGGTGGTCAAGGTCTTTGCCAACATTCACCACGAGGCCTATTGATCATCTTGATCATAGCTGGTTAAATTCAATAGTCAGTCTGGTAGCCAGTGGCAATTATAATTTTTAAATTTCCCAGTAGTATATACTACAGTAAATCATAGGTAGTAGGCAGCTACCAAACAGGGAGGTACTACCGCCTTGGAAGATATTGGAAGCATAATGTGTTGTCTAATGGTAGACCCTGCTGCCGTATGGCATCATGAAAATTGTGACCAAGTCCCAGGTTGCTGATCTGTCTTTCTGCTTCATTTACACACAATTGCAGGGTCTCAATTGTTTCTCTTACTGTTGACAACACAACATACATATATCGTTTCTCATTTTGTATCTTTTTTTATTTTTGTACTGTATTTATTATTATTTCAGTGTTGTTATTGTTATTATTATTATCAATTTATTTTATTTAAAATTTTGTATTTTTTAATTATATATTTTATTTATGAATTATTATTATTATTACTACATTTTCTCCCCCCGGGCCCCGATGTACAGTAGGTCAGTAACCTGTGCCCGGGTGGGCTAATTCCAGTAAAAAAAAATATATATATATAATATATATATATATATACAGTGAACCCTCACTTTACGCGGTCAATTGAACCCACGGCGGCTCGCGTAAAGTGAACAACATAACATATGGGATTAATTGAAATAGAGACCGGGCCGACCCCCAAACACCACTTTTTCAGACACAATACCTAAGTTGTAGTAAAAATAACTTCTTAATTTTATGATGGTATGCACACACAATTAATAATTAAGAGAAATATCAATAATACTAGGTTTTTTAACACTTACATTAGTAGAAAATAATTTTGATGATAAAGCTCTGATGGTGATAGACAATGCACCAGGTCATCCACCAGCTATGGTTGACTGATGTAAGAATATTAAAGTTGCGTTTTTGCCTCCCAACACCACGGCTTTGCTGCAACCCATGGACCAGGGCATAGTGACTCTCCTCCCGTGAGCGGGACTGGGCTGTGGAGGACCTCCTCCTCTGATCCCTCTGTGTGACTGAGCCCTGAGGGAGGGCTACGACGTCCTATATATTCGGAGACGAGCTGGCAGATGACTGGGTGGCGGTGAGGGGTACCCTTACATTTGACCTCGCTAATGTAAGGTCAGGTCTGGACTTTTTCGGAGCTATACGTTGTTGTATATATTGGAAGAATCTTCTGCTGACTGCGTGCCTGTTATCATAGTTGGTGAGGCCGTGTGACGGGGTGCTGGCTGATTTGTAGCCCCTTGACTTGGGCTGCGAGGGGCCCCTTTACATTTGACCTCGCTAATGTTAGGTCAGGTCTGGACTTTTTCTGAGATGTAGGTTGTTGTGTATATTGGGGGAGAGTCGGCAGGTGGCCTCTTCTGCTGACTGGGTGCTTCTTACATATTTGTTGGGGCCGTGTGACATGGGAGGGGTTCTGGTTGATTTGTAGCCCCCCTTGAGCGGCTGCGAGGGGTACCCTTACATTTGACCTCCCTAATGTCGGGTCAGGTCTGGACTGTTTCTGAGATGTAAGCTGTGGTCTGACAACCCATCACTACACCAATGACGATAGGTATTGGGAAAGGCGAGTTGTTCCAGGCGTATGTTGGCAGCCCTGGTCAAGTGAAACAAACCGTTATAAGTAAGGTCGGGAAGTGATAAGTAGACAGTATGAAATATGAGGAGCTCCCTTGTAACAAAATTATTTATACTTGTGAATATTGCCACATTAATTTATGCAACCAAATAAACCACTCAACCTGGTCATCCTGAGGGGTGGTGCAGCGTAGACGGCTGCTCCGAGAGATTGTCGTCTGTAGCACCAGTTTCGAGGTGTCGCCGAATCCATCATGCAGCGGTGTTCCTGTGGACGCCAACCCGCCGGCTAATATCTGTGACGCCGAACCCTTTGTTATGAAGGGCAAAAATAGCTCCTAGTACTGTACTTGAGGCAGTGCGTCGACTCATATACGTCTCGTGCCGACAAAAGCAGCGTTACCAAGTTTTATGGGTGTGGTTTGCTAAGTTTTATGGTGTTCTGAAACTTTAATTTCGTGTTTGGAGTGTTACTTTGTGGAAATATCTGTAAAAAAGCACAATAGGCTATTGTTTAGTAGAATAGGCATTATCACTCGCAATTCCCCCCCAAAAAAGGCATTTTATGGCATTTTGCCTAAACATCCGGGCTCTAGTCATCACTGACTTCTGCCTTTTAGGTTTCACTCCACTAGCATCACTAACACTGACACGAGGCAGTCTTTTAGGGGCAATGTCTGAGCCCAGTCAGAGGAAGAGGAGACGCTGTGGGTGCTTGGGGGTAACTCGTTGCGCTGAGGGAGAGGCTCGCAAGCTAGCCACCACCTGCTTACTGCGAATCATCGAAATCACGACTATACCTGTAGAGAGGACCTCCAGTACAGTACAGTAATGTAAAGGTGCATTGTGATATCCACAAATTTTGCTATCCTTGGCCATTTCCTGTCCCAACCCCTTTGCAGATAACAAGGAAGCTTGGTGTAGCTTTTCATGATTTTTTTTGTTTTTCAGATTAAGGAATTTATCACAAGATGGGGAAGACAATCAAAAGAGCCAAGAAGAAGGAGGGCTTCGTCAAGTCCACCAACTCCATGAACCCTGACCGACCACGGGACAAGGTAAGACACACACATATATTCCAAAAGTGTCACTGACAAGGTGTGAATGAATTTGGCTTACATTATAACCTGTGAGTTTTTACCATTTTATAATATCTATCATCCTCCCAATGTAAGAACAGTAGATTTGGTGTGATTCATCCTTCAGAGACTGTGTTGGATTCCTAGAAATGAAGTTACTCACCCTTCAGGGGGCTCAAGGGTGGAATCTTTGGGGGAAATTGGAGACATAATATTCATTAAAAATTTCAGTTCACAAAATTCTTGTTTAGGTGAGTCCTCTGTTTTAAATATGGTGATGTTCATGTTTGCCTTGTATTGTTATGTGTCTCAGCTAATTCTGAATACGTTACTGTATATAACATCACTTTCACATACTGTATGGATCTTTCTCCAGTGTTATAACGTTGCCACACTGGGACAAGCAGATTTGTTCTGGGAAACATTGTGGTCACACCCTTATATTCACAACACTTTTCCTTTATAATTATGTAGAACAAAATATATGATAAAAAGGTTTAGTATGTCTCTTTAGATATTCTGTACATTATTTTATACTTTTATTTATCTTGGTCATCAGCCGATGAAGGTGAGTGGTATGAGGATCCTCCCCAGCAGGAGTGTATAAAGCACAAACCTAATAATAAAAGTTATATGAGACTAGGACACAGTACTGTACTGTCATTCTTTAGAGTGATAATATTTACTGATGATTTGAATTGAAACAGTTTATTTAGCCAGAAAACACAGATACACAGTGGATAATAATAACAATATTAACATGGCTGAGCCAGTTGGGAACCTGAGCTCTCCTGTAGGCACCTAACATATTCTATACAGTGGTCTCTCGGTTAACGAACGGTTCGATTAACGAAATTTCGGTTAACGAATTAGCTCCTGTAAGGATCTTCAATTCGGTTAACGAACAAAACTTTGATTAACGAAATCCTTACAACAAACACGTTTTGTTGTGAGCATCAGCTGATTGGCTAGTCCGCCAATACAGTAATCTGTTCTATGTTTACATTCGTTTCCAGTGGAGTAAGTATCAAGAAGGTTGTGTTTTGAATATTTTTGCATTTTTTATATTAAAATTATTGCTCATTCTAAAATTTAGCCATCCAAGCTCTGTCTACATAAAGATTTTCAACTATTATTTTTGGCTCAATATATGTAACTTTATTCATTTATTGAAACTCATTTACATGCACACTTTGTCCTAAGGGCAAAGCTGAACTGTACATGTATTCAAAATGATTACTAAAATTTGTGTCTAGTGCAAACTTTAGCATGTTTACATTCAAATTAACCACTATCTTATTAGAATTCCAGTAATGTAAATTATATTCTCCCCGGTCACTTATATGACATTTTATTAGCAAAAAACAAAAACTCAATCTAAAGGACTAAATAAACAAATACAGTACAGTGATCCCTCGGTTAACGAACGCTTCGGTTAACGAAATTTCGGTTAACGAATTACCTTCCATAAGAATATTCAATTCGGTTAACGACAAAAATTCGGTAAACAAAATCCTTACAAAATCGTGTCAACATGTTTTCGCCTGCTTTCGCCTGCTCACCAGCTGTAGTATTAGTCCGCCAATACAGTAATCGGTTTTAGGGCTTAAATTCGTTACCATTTGAGTAAATATCAAGAAGGTTGTACTATTCAATAATTTTCCAAGTCTTGTATTAAAATTTTTAGTCATTTTAACAATTATTTCAGTTGAAGTACAGGGAACTAGTTTTTAGCGTGCCAAACAGCCACTTGACTCACCCAGAATGCGTCAGTTTGTGTCTCTGCTCAGTGGAGGAAGCATCTTGCTTGAGACTCTCTTGAACATAAACTATTTTTACGTTTTTTCAATACAATTATTGGTCATTCTGAAATTTAATATTGACAATACATAGTGCAGTGCAGTGTTGATTTAAAGAAAATAATCTTGAATTACACCAAGTGAACTCAAAATTTTATGGGTGATATGGCAGCATGAAGCATGGGGTGACTTCTCTTCCACCCCCCACTTCCTTCTCTTTTCCTTTCTCCTCCACCCCCACTTCTAATTCCCATCATCATCGTCAACAACCAGGAGCCTTCTACATGCACACCACAAAGTAAGTGTACTTTACTGCATTTATTTTTAGTTTGTATATAATTTTCGGTGAGCTGGAACCAATTACCCAACATCCCATTGAAACAATTGTTTCGGTTAACGAACAGCCTTCTGGAACAAATTGTGTTCGTTGACCGAGGGACCACTGTAAATACTTCACTAGACCTTTGGCGCCAACTGTCAAACATGTCACTGTCACCTCCCCTCCCTCCCGCCCTCCCCCTCCCTCCCAGCCAGGGTTTGGCTGTTATACAGTAGGCTTTAAGTTTTAGTTTTTATCTTATATAATATCACAGACTAAAGTCAGGAGAATATAATTTGCATTGCTGGAATCCTTGCAAGACAGCGAATAATTTGAAAATAAACGTCATATGTTTTGCAAAAGAGATAAAAATTTTAGTACATTAGTGTACAGTGGTCCCTCGGTTAACAAGCACAGTTCGTTCCACAGTCATTCGTTAACCGAAACCATTGTTTCAATGGGATATTAGGCAATTGGTTCCAGCTCACAGAAAAGTACATACAAAGTAAAGCCAAAAATGCATAAAGTCAGAAATACTCCTAAAATTCCCCTACACACCATACTAAAAGAAACAAATGACCTTAAGTGCAAACCTGTTCTGTACATGCACTAAATGATTACGGTATTAAAATATGTCTAGTGCAAATTATAGAAGAAGTGGATGCAAAACATTTTCTAAACAGTGCCGTTGTGTACAGCTTCTTAAAGTTTGAAATTACCTGTTGATCCATGGGCTGGATGAGAGGTGTTGTGTTGGGTGGCAAGAAGTGCACAGTGATGAAGTTGAACTCCTCTGGCAATTCAACCATCAAATTAGGAGGGTGGGCTGGTGCATTGTCCATCACCAACAAAGCTTTCAGTGGAAGATTATTCTCCCAGAGGTATTCCCGAACACTGGGTCCAAACACCTCAGTCACCCACTCAGAGAAAAAGACTCCTGGTCACCCAAGCCTTTGGGTTTGACTGCCACATAACACCAAGGTGGTTCTTCCTAATGTTTTTGAAAGCTCTGGGGTTTTCTGCATGGTACACAAGGAGTAGTTTTATCTTGCAGTCACCAGAAGCATTAGCACAAACAAGGAGGGTAAGCCTGTCTTTCATTGGCTTATGGCCAGGGACAGAAGTTTCCTCCCTTGTAATGTATGTACGGCGAGGCATTTTTTCCCAAAAAAGTCCAATTTCATCACAGTTGAATACCTGCTGAGAAACAAAGCCTCTCTCTTGAATCACAATAAAAAAAAAAGGTCATGGTGTTCCTTAGCTGCTTCCTTATCTGCACTAGCAGCATCACCATGTCTCACAACACTGTAATTTTTTTTCTTCTAATGAAACCAGTAAACCACCCCTTGGTACCCTTAAACACTGGCACAGCACTTCCACTGGGAGTCTTGGCTTGAAGGTCCTCAAACAATTGTTTGGCCCTCTCACAAATTATAGCTTCTTTAATGCTATCACCTGCCATTTCTTTCTCCTTTATCCACACTAAGAGTAAATTTTCCATCTCTTCAATCACATTACACCTTGCTTTGCTAAGTCTAGAGATTCCCTTAGCCACTTGCACAGTTTTTAACTCCTCTTTATTCTTCAAAATCGTACATATAGTCGATTTAGCCATCCTATATTCATCACTAAGTTTCGCAATGCTTGTTCCATTCTCACGTTTCTTTATGATATCTTTCCTAGTTTCAAGGGTTATTAGCTTTCTCACTCGCTTTGGACAATTCATTGTTACAATTGTACACTTGTATAACAAAATAGTTATACAAATAACGCGAATTTCCACATCAAAAGACGAAATTTCAACAAGTTCAGTGGTGCACTGTACACAATGAAACAAAGATGGCGCCTGACGCTCTTGCTGTGAGCTGCGGTACAACAATATTCATGCGCCAGACGAAATAGTCCCGTATTCATCCGCGTTCGTTGTAGGAGTTGCGTTCGTTATAGCATTCTCAATTTTATAGGTAAAACCGTTCGTTGTAGGAATATTTGTAGTAGAATCCGTTCGTTATAGCATACCCCCACTACACAGATATAATTTGAGAGAATAAATTATGAATTCTCTCCAGGGAAGTGTTGTGAATAACACATTGAGATAACACTCAAGTCAAGTGCCCAGCTTCCCTGTCCAGTGGTAGTAAGTGAACTGCTCCTCTCTGGTGGTGAGAATGGTAGCAAGGGAGCGGTGTTTACTGAATCAGCTGACCCTGGCTCGACCCTTGAAAGAGATGCAAGCCAAGTGATCTAGAGTTGTGAATAACTTGGTGTTATTCATTTGGGTCAATATTTATATAAAGCAAAGATACTGTTACACGGGTTATGTCGTATACAGTAAGATCTTGTTTTTCGCGAGTACAGTACCTGTAATATAGACTGGCCACTCTACATCAACCTCTGATTTTCCCATTTATAACCTTCAAATGATACAAATTCTGCAGATAAAGATAAGTCATTATTAAACAATGCATAGACACTTAAAATATATAGTAGCACTTACCAGTTAGCCCAAACTTGATGAGCTTGGTTGATGTTGGATATCCGAAACTGGGGATGGGCAAGCTAGTTGGAGTCACCTCCCCAGCTCTCCTCTCCACCTGGCTCTCCTGGTTCAAATCTTAGGAAGTCCTCGGTGGTAATATCTAGCAAATTTTGTGTTTCCTCCTCCACCTCTGCTCCAACATCGATGTTCTGGAGTGCATCACTAACATGTCGGCGTCGTGTGAGATACCGTGTGTTTAGTGACTGCTGGCGTTCGTTTATCTTTCGCTGGTATATATCTTTCTCTGGTATCTTGGCATAAATGTGTTGGTGATGGCCTCCACTTTGCTCACCAGTGATGCACACTCATTCTTGGACAACTC